ACTAGGAATCCAGACAGATATTTCCTTTTAAGAGAAGAGGTTCACAGACTTCTACAGAGAGGTGCTATGGAAGTGGTGAATCATTCTCTGACTCCATGTTTCTTTTCTCGTATAGACCTCTACTTCCTGAATCTGCATCTAATAGATTCTGATAGTTAAGCTTGGTATCTATGATGACTTTTTTTACTGTACTACCTTACAATACTAATAATATTTAAATTGCAAAATTTTGTTACTAGTATGTCAATTTCCACAACTCTAGAATCAATTTTCCAATGGATTTTTGACTCTCTACACTACAGTCCTTCAACTCTTAGCAAACAATATTTTTCTGTTTTAATCAAATGGCCCTTCGAAAATCTGATTGCAATTATTGATAAACATGATTTAGCTAGATATACCTAATGGAACTGTGCTGACATGATTAAAACTGTCAGTTTCTCTATGTCAAGATATACGTACTTTTCGGCAATAAAAACTGAATGGTTGTAAGTATACCTCTCAATAAAGTATGAACCCTTTTATAGCAGAATTTATCATTTATCATTATGAATTATAGTTTATGGTCAAACTAAGGTAAAGAGTAGTTAACCGATGTTTAAATCGATTAAATCGATTAAAAAGACTAGTCAGGGTAACAAACAAAACTGAGGGAATCGAATGAACTCCAAAAGAAGCGATACCTGTGGATCAACCGGGTAAGTGTCTCCTGCTATGGATGCCTCACCCGCCATGCGAATCCACACCACACTCTTGGTTTCAAATTGCACCAATACATTGATAGTAATCAATTTAGCACTTCCTTTGTATTTTCTTTCCTTAATATAAATGTATGACTCAAACGTAACTGAAGGTAAATACCTGTTATGAATTCAAATTCAACGGAGTGTATTTGTCTTTCCAATCGTTCATATTTTGTTTAGGGAAAACGGTAGTATTAATTCTGCCATAGGCGACAATACTAACATTTTTTAAATTTACCACTTTTTATAATAAAACCCTGGACAAAAAAGTTATGTGTAGCATTAGTACTTTATTATTCTGTTTTAGAAATTGAAGTCAAATGGTACCATGACCATCTTCCATGCCCACCGTCATTTTACATCAAAATATGAAAATTTGGAAGTCTTTTCAAATAATTCTGAAGAAAATATTTAAATGGGTTTCAAAATTTATATTGTAAATATACACACTGCAGTTATTTATAGATAAAAAAAATATATTGTACCCTTACATCCAATCACAGCGCTCCTAAGTTGACATCCTTCACCTGCCTTGGGTACACAAAAGGCCAACCTAAAGCCGGGAAAATGTATAACTACTTTTTTTCATTTAAGTTTTTTGCCACTAATTGATGTATCTTGAAAAAATAGGCGGATGAAAAAGTGAGTGGTAACTGTGTTATAAAGACATTAACGAATTTCACCAACAAAACTCAGATTTATAAATTATTTCACGAGTTACTCCTTTCATGGAATGCACTATTTTTAATAAAATGATTTACAATGGTTTTTGAAAACTAATCGCTGAAACGAAAAAAAGTAAGTCTGGATTTAACAAACAATAAAGCATATTGGTAAATTTTCATAATGTCATTGAAGCATTTTTACCTTTTTCAGTTTATTTCTGTTAACCCAATTTCATTTTCTGCTATGTAATGTATATAGAACAAGTGCAATGTAAACTTGTCTGTAAGACAGTGTTCATTTTTCCTTGACCTCGTTTTATGGATAAATGATCAACATTAACTTTTTCTGGTTTTGTCCGTTTCGCCGGATACTATAAGCAATAGGTCAACTATATTCGATGTTGGTCCAAGGACACAGTTATCGTCCTTTGGTTTTCGTTGTCTACAAATATAGTCCCTAGTGTGAACAGTGTATAACTTGCATTTTTTTTTTATACACTTTCCCAATTTATTTCTTGATATTTTATGCATGAAATATTAAGTAAGGGGATGAAATTACATGTTAAAAAAATTTGGGTGCTGAATCTTTATGTTAAGTAGTGATTTGGTCCAGTTAAAAAAGGTCAAAAATTAGAATGTCTGAAGCTGTCAAACTGAATTTTAGCCCCCCTTAACACAGAATTGTCAATATTTTGAGTTAGAGCTGGTAGAAGTTTCTATAATTTTGATATTATTTGTATCAATAGTAGTACACTACACTGTAAAAATCTTTTTGAGATAGAGCAGGTGCGATTTTTTTAATTTGAATTTATTGTCTAAAATAAATGCACTACGAAATAACTGTGTTCTCGGCCCTAAGAGATGAATTCCGTAAATGTAAATTCTGTACTTTTGCAACTTTCCTGAATGGTTTGCTGTTTTCAATTTGTCAAACTCAATAAAAGTAAAGGATTTACATCTTTGTTTGACAGAAATTCTGTTAAAATGTCCCATTTTGCCATTATACGGCTAAAATAAGCATTTTAAAGCAGTTTTCATTTTATGCCTAAGAGCCATGCTGACTTTCTATCGTCTTATTATCTTATTGTATTTATTGTCTAAAAGAAATGCACTACGAAATAACTGTGTTCTCGGGCCTGTTGTAAGGTGTACATGGCCGTCTGGAAGGGTTCATCTGACCTTGGTTTCCTTCAAATTGTTCATTGATCAACGTAAAGTTTTTATGGTTATATACTTTTCTATGATACTATAAGCAATGTTTTAAATATTGTTAGTGCATGTAATGATTAAAAGGTGAGCATGTCAGTGTGTCAGGGTTCATCTTACCTGGCCTCATTTGCATGGTGCATTCGTCAACTTTACGTTTTTGTGGTTAGGCCCGTTTCTCATATACTATAATTAACAGGTTAACTTTATTTGGTCTTTGAACTCATTTTACGGTCAAATCAATCGTTAGGTTTTTGTGGAAAAATTGATCTTAATTGATCAATATAAAATACGATCATGATCAACAAATCAGGCGAGATATATCAGCATCTGCATTATTGTTTCAGTTATGCGATCATCAAATAAATGTTTAGAAAGAAAGAAAATTAAGAGTTCACAAAACACTAAAAAGAAACCTACAAAATGGTATACCATGCTACCAAGTAAATATTGGTTGAGCATTTATTTGGCTTGTAAAACTAAAGGCTCTGAAGAGCCTGTGTCGCATCTTCAACAATGGACAGTCTGCAACATGGTGGACAAGGATAGAATTTTTAACAAAAATCTTTATTTGTTGATCTTGTATTGCTGATCTTTCTGTTTACAGTTTCTCTTTATCTTCTTTAGTTTTTGCCCATAACACATAAAAAGGGTAAAAAGAATCATCATTAAAGGGTAATCATTACTATGAAGAGTAATAACGATTTCGACAAAATTTGATTTGTTTGTAGATCTGGTCTTGCTAATCATTTTTGGTATTTAAAGTGTTTACTTATCTTTCATAATTTTCAAGATAATAGGTAAAAACGCAAAAATATGGTAAAACTGCTATTAAAGAGCAAGAACTCCAATAAGGAGTTTGCTGCCGATTTCGGCCATATTGACTTAATTGTAGATCTTGTCTCCCTGATCATTTGTGCTTTTTAAAGTTACTCTCTATTTATTATAATTTTCAAAATAATAGGCAAAAATTAAAAAAAATGGTAAATTTCATTATTTAAGGGCAATAACTAATATAAGAAGTCATCTGACAGTTTTGATGTCAACAGACAGTAGGTAGATCTCAACCTTTTGAACTTTTTCGTTCTGTCAAAATTTCTCTATCTATAGCGGTTTTCAAGAAAGGACAAAACTTGAATTTACCCCTATGTTCTATTATAGTCATGTCGGCCAAGTTGATTGGCAGGCAGGGCCAGGGCCTTTGGGCCAGGTGAGTTAAAACGAAATGAACAACACCAGTTTATTAAAAATTTTCCTTAATTCCTTCAAAGATACAAATATTTGGCTAGGAAGTTTGTCTGTAGCTTGTAGAATTCTTATTAACATATAACATCCTAAATTTTACGGTGATATTGTTTAACGAGCCCGAAAATTTAGATATTATTCAGGTATGTGCCTGTCCTAAAACAGGTGTCTGTGATTCAGTGGTTGTCGTTGGTTCGTGTCTGTCATATTTGTTTTTTCCGTAATTTGTAATGTTAATAAAGCAGGTCATTTGAATTCTCGTATGAACTGCTCCACATTTTTCAAGTCAGGGCCCTATGTAGAAAGTAAAATAACAAAAATACCGAACTCCATGGAAAATTTAAAACGAAAAGTCCCTTAACAAATGGCAAAATCAAAAGCTCAAACACATCAAACGAATGAAAAACAACTGTCAATCTCTTGACTTGGTGTAGGCATTTCCTTATATAGAAAATGGTGGATTAAACCTGGTTTTATAGCTAGCTAAACCTCTTACTTGTATGGCAGTCGCATACAATTCCGTTATATTGACAGCAATGAGTGAGCAAAACAATCAGACATAATAGGTAAAAATGTCAAAAATTGGGGTACAGCAGTCAACATTATGTTATAATCTTAATCACTATAAACACAAACAACAATGTCAACATAGAAACAACAAAATAGCTGACTATACGGTATTGGTTGTTCTCGTTGTTGAAGGTCGTACGATGACGTGTAATTGCTTCTATCGTCATCATTTGAACTTTTGTGGATAGTTGTCTCATTGGCAATCATACCACATACCTTAGTTTATATATCACAAATAACGGGGATAAAAGATTGAGACATGTTTCAAAGAAATAGTAACCAAATACACAATTATACACACACAGCACTATGATTATAAAGACAACAGTTTAAGTTAACGTTGAGCTATGCAAACACTGAAGTGACGTCATATGCTTAAAAATTAAATATTTCACCTGTTGCCTGCTGCAACTGTCATGTCGTTAAGTTATCAGAGGTAATAGGATGAAAGATTTGGATGCCTAGTCATATTTTAATGCATTATGAATGTCTTCGTATTATCTTCTTTAAATATCCAATTATGTTGTGTTTTGTTGTTGTTTTCTTGTTTAAGTAATGTGTTATCGATCTCTTCTTTTAATAAATATAAACGTTATTCAATAATTTGAATGAATCATGAATAAAAGTGTTTTTGTGATAAATAGAACATGTTTCAGAATAATATAAAAATAGACAGCGGTCTTTTAATCTAACTACTTTATGTGTTTGAAGCTACATATTAAAAATACTTGTTTTTTGTATACAACACAGACATTATACAATTTTTTTTAAAATGCAAATTTGAAAACTGATCACATGAATAAAATGTTGAATTGTAAATTCTCTTCTTTGATTTTGACATCAAGTTACATCGTCAAAAACAATTATTGCATTATGGAATGATACATTTAATTGGTAGGATTTTCGATTGTATTTGTTTCATCACAAAACCTGAAATATGTAGATGTATTTTAATTAGTTTTCGATAAATGATAACATAGATGACCCTGAAAAGATATAGAGAGAATTTTAAAAGACGCAACTTTTATTTGTACTATTAAACAAGTCATGTACACTGCTTTATGCGGATATGCATAATTTAGCATTCTAATGTTACCGCCAATATGATTGGATATTAACATAATACTCATTGTTTTTTACCTTGGTCATTGATCAATCTATCGAACGAGTTGCAATGCAAGAATGACTACTACATGTATACAATTTGCCGAGAACTCGTCTTTTGAATGACATACAGTGCAATATTTTTCAGAGATTTCATCTTACTTTACTTCTTATGTGATTACATTTACAGACCATGATATACAGAATTAGTTATATGCTCAGATTATCGAATAATTGTTTCTGTCTTAAGAAAAGAGTTTTGAAAACTTCAGATTTCAGATGTTCGCTCACGATACAGCAACGACACAAAATCCGAAAGATGATCTTAACTTGCATTCATATTTCGAAAACGGGAGGCCTCTGAACATTTCAGTTATCTCATGAAATAGAGGAAGTGAGCGTTAATAGTACGTTAACTGCACTCACAAATCAATTTTGCTTTCACACAGAATATTTTTTTATATTAAACTTACTTCTGTCATTACAAAGGTCATAAAAAGTTAATAAAAGGACCATTGTAAAAATAAAAACAAAAGCCACATTATGCACACCTACACAGATTATCAAAACATTTTTCTTGCGTTACCTAAAAATGTTACCTTGTATTACTACGTGCAATATTTATTGTCTCGGTAACTGTGTAATTAGTTTAAGAGAATGTTACTTCATTCAGTCATCCTTAAGTTATGGGTTTTTTTTTTCTTCTCCTGGATTCATAACGTGTTTTTTAAGGCCCACCTGTGACTTTGAGATGAATAATAAAAATAAAAGCGTAGTTCCTTTTCTTTCATTATTTTTCTTTTGTACGTAGTTATTTTTTATCATGAACTAATACACTATGACTTTTATTTTCATTTCCCTCACATGTTTACTATTAATATGTTTTAATCTAGAAATTAAAGATGTTTGGGTATATACCAATGAGACAGCAACTAAAAAACAAAAATAACCAATAGACAACTAGATGGCAGAATAATGTCTTCAACCATGGACAGGAATTCCAGTCTTTTTCCATAACAAGTTATTGAGAATAATGAATTAGGCATATTATAATAAAAATACTTTAATAACACATAAAGTAAAATATTCGAAGCAACCTGTGTAGATAAATTATTTGTCGGTCTTGGTGCTTTGCAACTTGTAATGTTTGATATCACGAAGAAAAATGAAAACAACACTATAAATTTTAAGCGTCAAAGCACTTTTCAGGATTTATCTCCATCCGGAACGCGCAAAGCCGAATATCTGAAAGCCAAGGATGTATAAGAACCAAAACAGTTGACGAGCAGTATGACCAAAAAGGACCTAAAAATAGCCAAATTCATCTACGGTCACTTTTATTTGAGGGAGTTCAACCCTTAATTTCTTATATTTTTTAAATCTATAAGTAGACAATTTTAGAAAGGTTTATTATGAATCATATCAGTACAGAGGTATTGACTACTGAGCTGATGATTCCCTCGGGGAATGATAATCCACAAGCAGCGGTATCGACCCAGTGCTGTAAAGAATGAAAACAACACTTTATAAATTTCATGCATCTGAATTCTGGATTTACCTTCACCAGGAACCATCAAAGCCGAATATTTGATAGAATATTTGATTGGAAATTCTGTGTTGATTGTTTTAAAAAGACATAATATATAATAAGAAAATTTTTAAAGCATAAAGTATCATTTTTTTTATTAAATCTGAGCATGGAAAACGAAGATTATGATGTATACCTTACATGTATAACATTAGAACCACATTAAAAAAATCAAAAGTTAGATTCCGACAATGTCTGAGATACAATACAAGGTGACCAAATTCTACGTGCTCTTAAGTGATAGTAAACTCGTAGTAGCGCACGATGCATTGTTGCTCATTGTGTCGATTGATCAATTTCCATGGGGCATGTTTTCATTTTGTGTTTGGAAAATTACTTTGCAAATGTAATCTGACGTCAAAATTGTACTGGTCTCGACCTGTTAAATGATTCACGGATTTAACGCAGACTCTTTAATTTTCGGTGAAAGAACGATTGCCCTTGACGTACCCTCCTCTTCATAGTTTGGTTGATAAATAACATATGTATTACGGAGACCTTATACTGAACTTGTTTTAATAAACGACAAAACAATTTGTCAGAGTTCGAATAAAAATAAAATCTTCTTATATCTATGACGAAAAATCAACTCATCTGGTGAATATGAAATTGAAATGTCAGCCCCTTATTTTTTAAATGTCTAAAACTGAAATGGATTAAACATTACATCACACAGACAAATGGAAAAATGGATGCCTTAAATTCCAAACTAAGGACGGTCACAGAAATGTCAGTTAATATACGATATAACTTGTGCTTATACTTACCACATACATCTCAACCTTGGTGGACAAGAACGATTTACACATGACACACATGTAGGGGTATCAAACGTTTTAGTGTCCATTCTTCCTATAAATTTCAGAAGGTCACTTCTGTGGTCTTTTTTATATGTCTAATAAAAAAAATATATATTGGAATATTAAGATATCACAAAAATAATGCGATAATGGATAACGAAACATGACTAGTTGATACATTTAATATATAGTAATACTATTATTGTATTAAAAGGTCATGACAAATTATTCGATGGACTGGATATAAATAATTGGAAGGTCATTGTCAGGAAAACAAGATATCCTAAATTCGCTATTGAAAACGTTAAAGCGACCAGGAAGGAGGAAGTCGAAATAAGCGTATCAAAATAACTAACCAATAACTCTGCTTATTCATATAAATGACAGATAACGATTATAAATTTGTAACTGATTGGGTAAATAAGATACGTTTTTACATCACATACTTACATTGTCGTTTTGATGTTCATATGCTGTGTTGAATATTGCTATAAATATGTTTAAAGTGACCAAAGTGAAAAGAGCCAAAAATATCCCCAGAAAAATGTTATTGAAAATCGAAATAATCTCTTTGTCAGAGTCAATGGCAGTAAAAGTGACATAAACTTCGTCTCCGTGCATAATAGCCAACAAAGACTGGATGGTGGATGTCACGGAGGCAAACTGTAAATAAAAAATAACAGTCTAAAACAAAATACTTGTTCAGTATGATTTAATATGCAAACAGAGCATTAGTAAATTAAGGTTTATACTCTCAATGCTATGGTTTTCTGTCGTTCATTTAATCGTTTCTGGAGTAACAGTCTGCTGCTATACATGCTATATCTGCCAATGGAATCCGAAATTTTATGATAGGGAATAAAACACACTAAGTAAGATCAAGATCTTGGAACACTTCTTCTGATTATTGAGACCCAGTCATATCGCACTAGCATTGGTCAACCAGTCAGCCAATTCATTATGGTGATCATTAAACTTTTGTCGTCGAAATAAGAAACCGTTGAATTTATACGTCTCGTTTTCTAAATTCTTAATTTCTTTTTAAATATTAATTGTTTAGTTATCAAAAAGTGTTAAAGAAATGAAATGAATGATCATAGGGACAATTACATTGTCTTTCATGGCTTTCATGGTTCGATAAACACTTTTGGCAAGTAAGTTTGCCCGGTCTACAACTTAGTATTATAGTATTAAAGCTACGAACTGTTATAACCAACATATGCTGAACTTTCCCCTTTAATCTCAAGATACAAGAAATATTTAATGCAGATTACTTGCGCCCGAATATTTTTTTTTACTAAAGATAAAGATATGTGCATGTCGTCGTTTTACTTGAAAGAAATATGTCATTCCCCCTCGTGACTTATATATGATATAAATCTTTAACTAAAAGATCAAGAAGACATACTTGGTCATACAAATAAAGGAAATGTGAAAAATACGTCGATGAAACTGCAAACATCTACAAATATAACCAAAAGACAATAAGCAACTCAATCGATCATCTACAGGGCATGCATTCATTTGATTCGTCATAATGTAATGGCATTGTAGATCCAATAGAATTTCTATGAAAATTCTCCAAAGTTTAAACATTCTAAAACGATTCTTATCAGACATTTTGATCAAACTTCACTCGAAAATGAAAATAACTATTTATAAATCCTATGTCGATGGCGTTTTTCTGAAATACCGTCACCTTAATCTGGGGTTTGGCATTTTCATTATAATCTAAGATGTTTCAAGTTGTACATTACGCACAGAATATATCTTTTGTCATATGAAGTAAAAGCTTGTTTTAGATATGAAGGAATATGTTGCCACATTTGGGATTCCCGGAACTGATTTTGGGACATTTGTTATAGCAAAACATGTTTATTGCAATTTTATATAAAAATGTGTTCAAAATGTTCTATCTCTGTTAACTTTCTCTATACATAAATTTTCTTAAATCAAACTGGTAAACATGAAATAACTCTTTATAAATATCATGCGTCCGATGTCCATTGTATTACAATCACTAGGAACACTCAAATTCAAACACTTGAAAGCAAAGGATGTATAAAAGCATGAATAAGTGAGCAGCTATATGTTCAGAAGGGGCCGTAACGCTCGTGCATGTTCACACTATAATGAATTCATAAACAGGGACGTGCTCATAATTCAAAATCTGCTACAATAGAGGTATAAGGAAGAGCAAATAAAATCGACGCTTCACAAGTCTTACGGTTACCCTTGATGATGTTGGTATATCCAGAAAAGCGCCTCTGACGCATACAAGTGTTGTTTTGATTTTTTACCAAAACAAATGGATTGGGCGATACAATATGTCGGTTTCTCAAATCACTGGCGGTCTTAGATCTTTAGATACCTGTATAGTAAGCAGTCAGATCTGTTATTTTAACGATTGTGCCCTATCCCATTTGTGACAATTTTACTGCGTGTTTTTTCGCATGGCTGTGATGCATGCATAGCAGGAGACGCTTATTCTGTCGACGCAACCGGTCTAGACCCTATCGGAGTTCATGCTATATCTTCAGTTTTTGTTTGTTTTCTTGATTTGTCTCTTACTAATTGATTTACAAAACATCGACAAACTTCTTTCGCCTGAAATTTTAACTGTTCCTATTCCCAAATTGTGACATTTTGAGTGAGAGTGTATTTGTATGGCGGTTGATACAGGCATAGCAGAACGCATACACTGTCATTGCACCCGATCTTGCTCCTTTTGGCCTTCATGCGATTTCCATTTAGTTTTTCTTGTTACTTTAATTGGATCTCCTTAATGAACTCATTATATTTGAGCATTGGTACACTGCTGTTACTTTCAATTTAAACATTACTCATTATATATTTGATGATTGGAGTACTTTTTTCCCATCTTGGACAAAAGACTGAGAAAATTAACCCGACTGTCTAATGTAGTTTTATCTTACTTGGAAAATAATTACACTAATAAGATGTCACCTGAGTGATGTATTAAACCTTTTTGAGTAACTTATTTCAAATATCTTCAGATTCTTCAAATTAAAGACGAGTGACTTCGTGCAATATTATGAAATAAAGTACCTTTATATGGTAGGGTCCAAGGACAACCCATGCAAATAACACAAACCCAGCAAATAATATAGAAATGCAGGCCAGAAACTTTATAACAACACACGCTGATCTTTCCATCACAGAAAATAAAAGCTGAAATATAATTTTAATATATACAATATAAATCATTTTATTGAAAACTTAAAATTCCATTTTTATTCACGTTTTGCGTGTTTTCCTATAGTTCTAAATATAAGAAATCAAAATAAAACACTTAAAAGTGTTTTATTGATGAGATGACTTATGTAATGATGACAGTAAAAACCTCATGAAACCTTGCTTATCATTTTTTACGCAGACACATGTTTCGTCTACTCAAGACTCATCCGGGGTGCTGGCATGAATTGTATGCGTCCGAAGCGCTTTTTTTAAGTTACCTTCACCTTAGACGCTCAAATAATGAGCTCACAATTTTGTTTTTTATCAATGTATATCTTATTAAGATAGTACTTAAACTAAGACTGCTATCACCTCATCTGCAATTGGTCTCATGGTGCTATGGTTTGACCTTTTTGTTTTCATGCTTTCAACATTTCATGAACTAGTTATTTTTTTTTCCTTTCCGTTTAGTCTTAAAAAAGCCTGTGAATAGTAATTCACTTAATAAATCTAATAAACAAACGTTTGTAACATTACTATCAAGTAGCAAGTATCACTGTTCTAATTGCCAGTCAGTCTGCGATGGTATAATTCGAGAAGTTAATACTGCTGACATAATCATAATTTATTTTAGTAATTAGCTTTTAAATTAAATAATTGTAGGAACTAATTTTAGAATGATGTGTAAATTAAAAATGCGTAGTTCTTTGAATATTGCTTTCTAATTGTATGTGTGTCAAAATATATATTTATCGAAATTAAAATGCACAAGGTCTAAACAAAATTGAAGCTAAGACATGTGAAAAAAACGCATATATTTTAAAAGGAAGACAAATATAATATAGAGGCTTTATTAGCTGTGTCGCTCACATGCATCTTGAACAATGGCCACGTATTTAAAATCATCATTATAAGGAAATTAATCTATTGAGAGCTAAGTGACAATTTCAGTCATATTTCTAGATCTTATCTTGCTGATCATTTTCCTTTTTAAAGTTTCTATTCATCTTTTATAGTTTTCAAGATAATAGGCAACTAACACAGACAAAATGGTGAACATTATCATTAAAGGGCAAATATTTCAATAATGAGTCGACTCAGATTTCAGCAATGATAGCTTATTTGTAGATCTTGTCTTGCTGATTATTTTTGGTATATTAAGTTTCTATCTTACAATATAGTTTTCAAGATAATAGGCAAAAATGCCCAAAAAAATGGGGAAAATCGTCATTAAAGGGCAATAATTTTGATAAGGTGTCGATTGACGATTTCGATCAAGTTGACTTATTTGTAAATCTGGTCTTGCTGATCATTTGTGCCATTTAAAGTTTCTGCCTTTCTATTATTGTTTTTGAAATAAAAGGCAAAAGTGTTAAAATGAAAAAAAATTGTAGTTTAAGGGCAATAACTCCTATCAGACGTATTCTGACAGTTTTGATGACAATAGCAATGACGTAAATCTCATAATTTGGAACAATTTTGCCCTGTGAGATTTTCTCTATCTATACGGTTTTCAAGATAATAGACAACAATTGCATTTTACCCCTATGTTCAATTTTACGTCATATCGGACCTGTTTGTCGGCAGGCAGGGTCATCGGACACATTTTAAAAAAAAGATACCCCATTGATGAATGTGGCCAAGTTTGGTTCAATTTGGCCTAGTAGTTTCCGAGGAGATTATCTTTGTAAAAGTTGACGGACGACGAAAGACGACGGCCGACGGCCGACGACGGACGACAACAGACGACGGATTACTAGTGATGGGAAAAGGGAATATATCGACCACTGAAAAAAAAAACAAATCCGGGTTAAATAAACAATTCATATTTTGTACTCCATATGCTTTGTACTTACGCTAAAAACATGATCATACGCTAAATAATGCAAGACACTCATCCATGTAAACAAACAGCCAAAGCCAAGGAGGATACCAGTTGTATCGTACATTGATATAATATAATTTGTTTGTATCTGAAGTAGAACATACATGTATAAAAGGGTCTTCTTTCCACTAAATTCATTTAACCCAACTATTAAAGAAAAACCTAACACTAACTTGTGTTTGTTGAATAGCTCTAGTACTACATATTGTGAGCCGGAGATTTAATAAGACAAATGATCAATATAAACATATATACTATAAAATTTGAATCCAATAATTTGAATTAGAAATTTAATCTCACGTTTTTAAACGTTTGCATTTGAAAAATTGAACAATTACATTGCAATCTTCCGTGGCCGACCAGGAAAAACCCATTTAAAGAAACCTGTGTCCTTTTGTCAATGCCAGCGAAACTTTAAGACTAAGGCTATAAATACCATAACGTTTGTATAGCCATTCCACCTATATAAAAAATTAATATATTTATCAAAATACAAAAATATGCAATTCTTTCTTCTTTAAACATCCCTTAAAAAAATACGATGTTCACAGTACAAAGTTCAGGCTTTAATTAAATACATAAAGCCGTCTCTTAACAACCTAATTTTTTGTCGCTAAAAATCCATTCGTTTGATGTGTTAAGGCTTTTGATTTTGCCATTTGATAAGGGACTTTCCGGTTTTGAATTTTCCTTGGAGTTTGGTATTCTTATTATTTTACTTTTTCCTACGCCTACATGTACATGTATTACTCATGCGCAAGAAGACAATCAATTCCCGTTATACTTATATGCATCCGGAATTTTTTAATAATGAATAAACAAAATTATATTTGAAAGCCTACGTTGATATGATTTAAGATGGGGTCGTTAGTTTTCCTCAGTTAGAATAGAAAAGTGTATCTTGTGTTGGCCTAAAGCAGTCCAACTTAACTCTATTTACTTTTAAGAAATCTTGGCATCTAAAAACTTCAGTTTTGTTTAGATTTTTGCTGATTTTTATGTTTTTCTCATTGTAAATTCTGTAGTGATTTATTTTGTTTAAAACAGGTAAATAAATAAAAATTAGATAGAACGGATCGTATATGAGTGCAAGATTGTGTCTGGTAGGTAATTAAAATACAGGACATTTGTGCATTGCTTTTGCTATGAAAATGATTCTCGAAAACCTTTCCAATCTGATCAAACCTCCCTCATAACTTGAATCTTGAATCGATCATCGAGTTTTTCAATTTTATCACGATATACTTTCAAATGTGTTTCCTATTACCTTAAACGGAATCTTACTCACCCCATGGTCAATACTTAATTTTATTACTGATCCAACTATTGTTATGATATGCGAAAAACATATTATCAAATCATTCAGTTTAAAGATTTCCCAACATGCTCTTTTAGACAGTATCGTTCCTTTTTCCTTCTCGTAATAGTCCTTTGTTTTCTGAAATTAGAATAGAAAATTATTTGCATTTCCTATCAGAATTTCCTTGATAGAGGTTACTGCTCACAAGGAAGTTATTAAACCAAGAGTTCCAAGTGGTGAAGTTGAAATCATCCCTACGCAAATTTTACGGACGCCATCACGAGTTGGTTGACCGTTATTGAGAATCAGTTTCACAAATGACAACGGATATGTTCCAATTGTCGTAACTACATTCCCGTCTACTTTTCCCCGAATGTGACTTACCGAATTAGACTTATCATCGGATTTGTACTAACATGAGCAACACGACGGGTGCCACATATGGAGCAGGATCTGCTTATCCTTTCGGAGCACATGAGATCACCCCTAATTTTAGTGGGGTTCGTGTTGCTCAGTCTTTTGTTTTCTATATTGTGTTTTGTGTACTGTTGTTTGTCTGTTGTCTTTTTCTATTTTAGTCATTGCGTTGTCTGTTTATTTTTGACTTATGACTTTGAATGTCCCTTTAGTATCCTTCGCCTGTTTATTGCAATCTTTGAAATTCAAAGAAGTCTTGCTTTTAGGATGCCTTTAATCCTACCGAAATAAACCTTCATTATTACACAAATTATACATATGTCACTATTAGATAAGACATTACTTTCGGGTGTATCAATGCATTTATCTTGTCATAGCATTGCTTAACACATACAACCTTTTACATATTTGTTTTTCGATACAATAAAAGATCAAATGTTTTCCAGGAACTAATTTTTATCTTATATAGAAAAGTGGATTTCCATTATATGTGAAATTGCTGAATCAATAAACATAGAACAGGATGTGATGCATATTTGCTGGTCCAAAAACTAGTTGAGAATTTACCAAAAAAAATAGACTTTCTTCCGAAAACGTTAAGAAGGGCTTTTTATTACATGGACGGTTGGTGGACGAATGTCCCTGTGGTATTCATGACATCATGGAAGCTACTAGCTTTAATAATGAATTACATCATCTTTGAAATTGGCATACATGGAAAATTTCATTGGAAGTTCAAATTTTTTCTATAAAAATTGAGTCTAAACAAGGCTTTTTTGAAACATTTTCTAAGTGGGTGACGTGGATATTTTGTTTCGTGTTGAAGTCAATTATATTTACCATGTACAGAATGAAAGAAGTAATCGAACTGTACAAACAAAACAGTCCGTGCAGTACACAGAACAATAAAACAAGTGCTGAAATCACAATTTCCTGAGCTTTTGCTGAAATAGTCAAGGAAATAGTTGTAACTAATTAAGTCATAATGTATAACATCTTTCACAAAATATGTACTATGATAGACAACATGTTAAATGAAAACAGTAAGGTATCAGAAGTTTCGATGAATTGTATTTGAAAAATCATAATACATCAAGGTGATGATAAAATACATTTATGGACCCGTTTAGGGAAGAAGAAATAAAAAATATATTATGCAAACTTATTTATAGATTGATGTTACGTGTTCTTTTTTTTAAATATATATAAAATATATATATATATATATATATAAGTTTGTATTTGTTGTTAATTATATAATGTTTATTCGGCTACCCGTAAAAACTGACAAAGACTTTTATGGCTTTTGAACATAAATAGATGTAGACGTATCTAAAACTCTGGTTTTATTCTCTGGCAGGGATTTTTTGTCATGATCTATTAATATACAAAATTTCTTTTTTAAGTTACGTCTATTAACTTAGATCTGAAAATCAAAAAGATATCTTATTTTACACTTTTTACATATGTGGAGCAGGATCTGCTTACACTTCCGGAGAAGCTGATATAACACAGCTTTTTGGTGGGGTTAGTGTTGCTCAGTTTTCATTGTTTTCAATGTTGTGCTTTGTATACTGTTGTTTGTCTTTTCGTTGTTTTTCGATTTTTGCCATGATGTTGTAAGTTTGTCTCAGAATTACGAGTTTGAATGTCGCCTCTATTTGATCTACTGGAATAATAATAATAATAATAATAAAAATAATAATAATAATAATAATAATAATAAAAATAAAAATAATAATGATAATAATAATAATAATAATAATAATAATAATAATAATAAACACTTAAACATTTAAGGCCAAGGAACAGTATTGGTTAATGTCAAGATTTATAAGTTTTTGTAAACTTTTCGATCATGTTCAGCTTAAACTGAAAAAAAAATTATTCACTCAATTATTTGATGCTTGTTTATATACACGAAAATTCGTCTTGCACTTTATTGAAATGTACGTCTGTATTAATAATATTCATTAAATAATACTTCACCTAATAAAATAGATATATACAGCAGTTTGTCTTTAAACTCAAGTTTAGACCGAAAAGATTATATGTAATCCTAAAAAAAATCGTCAAATTTCCAATATATAAAGTTACATAGTTTGAAGGTAATGATAGTCAGTTACGCTATTTAACCTTACTTCACCTACCATCAACCGTACTATCTGCACTACACTTTACTTCTTCGACACTTGTTTTAAGTTTAACTATTATTTGTCCATTTATTTGTCGATTATCAAAGAAAACCTGCACCAATTAAAAGTTAAAAAATTAATCTGTATTTGAAGTCAAAGCTGACATATCTTTTAATGTAGCAATATAATCATGGAATAAAATAATAAAAACAAAGTATTTACTTTGTCTATAACTTAAATGAAGAAAATCAAAATAGAGCATCGAAATATGAAAGTAGTGTACAATTATATAATCAATGAAAATAAATCTTTCAAATCAATTAGATCGGATTGACGTGAATATACAGAATGTTTTAATCGATAAATGAAACGATTTTAGTTTGAAACCGTTAATACTAAATCAGTTTGACGCGGATTCATTTTCTACCAGGTTTTTTCAAGGACTCTGTAAGGGGAGTTTAATAAAATGTAATTGTCATCTCACTAATTTTAAGGAAGAAACCTCCGTTTAGATTTGTCCTTAGTTCGTTCGGATTCTTCTATGAATGTTATGGCGTGTTCTTTTGATTGATTTCCTGTAGTTACGATTTTTCCATTTTATGATGAATGTTGTATCTTTAGCTGATTTTCACCTTGAATAGTGCATAAAAAACCCTTTACGATATAAAAAAAAATGCAATAACATCCTTTCGGTTTGAAACAATAACGCATGTTTATTTTTCCTTGAAAAGCGACTCATAAATATCTTAATCAAAGGGAAAGCATGTTTTAATATGCATGTTAAAACAATATTGACAACTCGTATGAAAAAATGAAGAACCTGACATAAGCGCAAATAAATTGCATAGTGAAATAAAGACTGACCACAAACAGAATAAACAAATACAAGAAAGTCGACTTAACAACATATAGAATACATAAAAGTGTGAACAACAAACCAGAGCAAACACCGGCAAAAATGCAGGTGGTTCTTGAAAAAAAATGGTAATAAGTCGCGTGCGTTGTTGTCAGCACGAGGTAAAAATGACGGGATTGTTGCTTCTACAATAGAAACATATGTGCCGCACAGATTTTCCATTACTGTCAACCTAATCATGTTTGTGCAAAAACTGTTTGAAGAGACACAGTTACCCTACATTAAGACAATAAGGATATGAAACATATGCTCTAAAATATCTGGTCAACTAGAAGATATATACTCCAAAAATATGCCGGTGGTTTCTTTTTTTATCTTATCCGATTCGTAAATCTCAGTGTAGCTAACGTATTTGCCTGAATACAAAACAATGATGCTAGGATTTTCTATAGAAATCTTAAAAATAACTACTTACAGTACCATGAATACCGAAACACTGTATAGCTTTTCTAGTTTCAGCATTCAAATGGATTGAACTTAATTTGAAATCAATGTTAACTGACAATAACCTAAGATGAAAAATAGATATGTAGAGAAAATAAGTCGTGCATACATGAGACATTAACTTCATAGTATTGGCACTATGATATTGGATTAAATACCCATGTACGTATTTAGACGTAAAAATTGGTCATAAGTCAGGAGCTTATAATTCAGTGGTTGTTGTTGGTTCATGTCTGTAATATTTTTTGTAATTATACTATATAAATGCCTTTTTTTTCTCGTTTGAATTATTTCACATTTTTCATTTCGGGGCCCTTTATAACTGACTAAACGGTATGGGTTTTTCTCCTTGTTGAAGGACGTACGGTGACCTATAATTGCGTTTATCATCGTCATTTGAACACTGGAGGATAACTGTATATTTATATTAATATCAGATATTTTGAAGGGTATTAATTTTGGTATTTTTCTTCCTTTTTATTGTTTTTTTTTTTAATTCCATTATATATTCTCAATAGCAAATAAAGTTTCTGACTGGATTCTTTTTTTGCTTATTATCGGGCAAAAAAGGGGGGCGATCAAGAAATTGTTAATATGAATCTATAGTTCAATTGTTGTTTTTATATCGGACAAAAAGTCGGGGGAGGTCATCAGGAAATTGTGAATATGTATGTATAGTTCAATTGTTGTTTTTGTTATTGGGACAGTAGTTTAAATATCGCAAAAATAGGAACTATGGCTCAACCATTAAACATACGTCTAAATAATTTTCCAATTCAACTATCAACCTGTTGCGCTTTTCGTTTATGTGTGTTTATAAATTGCGCCAGATCAACGTTACTAAAAATTTGTTAACCAGAAAATCACCATTTGACGAACTGATTCGCCAAGGAATGGTTTTTTCTGTCAAGTTTGAGTTATAGAAATAGAAATAAAATTAGTAAAGAATGAATATATATTTCTTACAATATCTCCAACAAATATAAAATTTACAACTAAGACGATAAAACAAAATGACAAAGTGTACTTATTTTATGCTACTAGTTTCTTTCTTTTTTTCAATGTATTTTACTAAATTTTGGCAGGTATCATCTCTGTTAGACAGGAGGAGTCTTAAACAGTAAAGTAACAAGCTTGTTTCGTATATTTTCCTGTCAAACTTGAAAATATAATGTTAGGAATGTTACACTCTAATATTGTAAAAAGACATATTTTCCCTGGACTGCCATTTTGAAAAAAATCACATACTGACTTACCACATCTCCTTATTTTTATATTGCAAAGGAATGTTAAAAAGCTTACTATGAAAAGCTATTCCATCAGCAGTGTTTGATAGTGAAATAATTGACTGTCATAAGTTAAGTAAAAGGTTATAACAAACAGTGACTTTTACAAATATCTTTGAAAATATTTATACCTCTATGGTAAAATCTTATTTCTAATTATTGGATAGCAAATTGAAAGTAGACTTTTCTTTTTGTACTCCGATTTTAGTAGAAATTTCTTCTTGACAAAAATACCCAGTGAAAGCTTGATTCCAAATGATTAAGGGTAATGCCCGATTTAGATGATTCCAGGATATCAAGTTAATATCAACATACTAGCATTACGACAAACTTAGATAAGTGAGGAACAAACAGATATTCAAAATTTGTATACAAAATTAAATTACCTCACTAGTTTTCCATCAGTACTTCTCATCAGGTCTGCTATGCTTGGTTCGAAACCATATCCAGGAGGACTTTGTTCATCAACGTCTCTACAGACTGATGGTAAATACAATGATTTTCACTATCAAAATGCTGAAGAGTTTTATTGACAAGATATTTGGTATGTTTGTGGACGGTTTTTCAAAACCTTTTACCTTAATTAGTTCCTTTAATTGTAAAAAGATACCTCTTTCAAGATTTTTCACGAAAAATTTATAGAAACTAGTCCTATTATTTACCAATTAAACCTGCTATGAAATGGTATAACTTTACTGAATCATTAGAATAAAATTGAGAATGGAAATGGGGAATATGTCAAAGAGACAACAACCCGACCAAAGAGCAGACAACAGCCGAAGGCCACCAAAGGGTCTTCAACCCAGCGAGAAAATCCCGCACCCGGAGGTGGTCCTCAGCTGACCCCTAATTAAATTGTGTACTAGTTCAGTGAAAATGGACGTCACACTAAACTCCAAAACATATAAATGAACTAAAATTAAAAAAAAAACATACAAGACTAACAAAGGCCAGAGGCTCCTGACTTGGGACAGGCGCAAAAATGCGGCGGGGTTAAACAGGTTTTGTGAGATCTCAACCCTCCCCCTATACCTCTAGCCAATGTAGAATAAAGAAACACATAGCAATACGCACAGTAAAACACAGTTTAAAAGAAGTCCGAGTCCGATGTCAGAATAGGTAACAAAAGAAACTACGCAAAATGACAATGATAAATAAATGAACAAATGACTACTAGCAGTTACTGACATGCCAGCTCCAGACCTCAATTAAACTGATTGAAAGATTATGTCTTCATCATATGAAAATCAAGCACAATCCCTCCCGTTAGGGGTTTAGTATCATACCATCATAAAATATATGAGAAGAACATAACCCGTATCATGCAAACAACTTGTTTTAGAATAAATGTGTTTATTTCCGATGCAAAGACCCTAATGAGTGAATCAATATTAATACCAAAATATGCAATCCTTAATGACTTGACAACAGTATCGTAACTATATCCTTTCCGAATAAGAAGCTTGTTCCGAAAAGAAGTTTGATAAACAGTTGAAACGAATCTTTCCGAATAAGTAGCTTGTTCCGAATAGAAGTTTGATAAACAGTTGAAACGAATCTATCCCATCAAGCTTGGAATAAAAGAAACAAAAAATATGATTAGGTCTGTATCATACCTTGATCTTCATCTAACAAATTGGCAGAGATTGTCTTTGGAGAACTAAGCGTTAGTCAAGTAAACCTCACAGTTTTCATCTGAGTTGTTGCTTTGTTATTTCTTTTTTTTTTTTCGTTAAAGGTTATATTTTCAATGTTAGTATTTCCCATGGACTTGTCCATTCTTATGTTGATATTTGTTCATACTCTCATCTAATCTTTTGCATTCCGTAAAGTATGAAGATTTGGGATATTACATATATCTATGGTTTATAATATTGTTTTTGTCTAAATGACAATACACCGACACGTTAGGGACGATATGACCCAAAGGAAATGTTTTTCATTTCATATCCTAGCTTATGATCACATTTAAGTATTCAAATAATTTTCATGTTTTATGATATATAGTCTATTAAACAGTTAAATACCTGTCTTAAGGGTTGTATCTATTGCTACAATTTTTTCTTCACCTCATTATATATTCCTGTTTCGTAAAAATAAAGACAGAGCGTAACTGGCTTCTCCTGCCCACCTGTACCGTTTATCCGTCTGATGAAGAAAGACCCGACGGATGTTGTTGGTATATTGTAAACCTTTGGACAAAAATCTTACGTAGAATTGTAAATATGAGAAATATGAGCAATCAACGATATAACTTATCCGTCTAAACCTGTATATTTTGTTGCCCTTTAACACGATTATTAATCTTTACAGCGCTTTGGAACTGAATGATTTAAAACTATCTTCGTTTAACAATTCTCCTTTCATAAATTGATAAAATTGGAGAAAACTAAGATTCAAACTCCCTTAGGCAATGTAAGCTTTTGATGATTGTGTCTTTTTATGAGATCCTATTATGGTGATATAGCTCCTCAAGTATTCAAAAAAGGTTAATATCTCTGACATAAATTGTTTTGGGGTTTGAACGTTTCTGATGAAGGTTAATCCAGAAAAGCGCTTCAGACGTACAATATTTAAGTGCTATTTTCATTTTAACGTATACAAATGCATTAATTACCTTTTTCCTTTATTATGTAAATTTGTATAGGTTAGAATAAATGGAGATTTCCCGACGTATGCTCCTAGAGGAGAGGTTAACGGGACAAACTTAGGTCAATGATTCCTATTTCAAACAGATCAGCTCTATACCTATTGTGATTCTCTTTTGTAGTTTGACAATCATATAACAAAATATAAATATATACATCTGAACTAATACATGTAGAACTTGATAGATTTTAAAGCTTTCTCTGCCTCATAGACATTGAATTTGTATTTGTTTTTAATAGAGGATGAACAAGAAAAAACATGCAAAATAATAAATTCAAATGTAAAAGATATGCTAACATTTTGTGAAGACAATGCTCTTAAATTTCCCGCAAGTGTTTCGATTATCAAGAAAAATGTGATCAGACGTTTACATTTAAAATCTCTGAATAGCTGTTCAAGATATGCCAGCAGGCAAAAGGTTGTCGGATCACTGTTGAAAGTGCGTTTATCACTGATAGTTCCATTCTTGATTTGGAACGTACGGTTTAATAGATGTTCGTTAATATTGTGATCTGACTAACGGATGGATATAATAAAGCCCGCTTTGTTTTAACCTCGTCTGAGACAAAACGACCAATTTGATATTCTGACAATAAATAGTGATGCATTTTTTTTAATCACCATTCACCAAAGAATGGGTATATTACCCAAAAGTTCGAAGAGTTTTGTATGGTCCAATTGAACTCATTTAGATTTCAGATTCAACCCAAATTATGTGATATTACTTACGTTTGTAACAGTATAATTGATATGCTCTAACAGGTTATCTATGGTGTAAATGGCATAGACACCAGTCGATGGAGGATAGGGCATAGTTTCATAATCCTGGGACCAGTCTTTCAACAATAAATGTTTCATTGCTATATTATTTCGTTCCAAAAAGTCAGCAAATTGTGCCCGATCATTTCCAAAAAGTACTAACTATAATGAAAAGATATGACTTTCATGTTGTAAATTATTGTGTATCTTTATTTCACAAAAACCGAAAATTTCCGATGGCATCCGGAAATCACAATTATACTCGTAATTTATCAAACGATGATTGTCTACCCATTAATATACCTTCTTTATTTTAAGAAAGTTTATGATTGATCAATTCTACCAAATGAATAGAGCATTACAATAATCATCACATGTAATCCAACTCATTTAACACACTACATGCAGTTTAAGATATTTCCTTGTTACGTGTAGCATTGCAATGTTATCTCTTGTTATTAGACACCCGTAACTATGTACTATTTTGTCATATCAAATTTTTTGTTTCAGATTTAGCAACAAGTTCACCGGGCCCTTTGCAATTTTTGTGCTAAATGCAAAAAGTTGATATCTTAGGACGTTATTTATCTAATATAATTTTTTTCAGCAACTATAAATAGCTATATAAATATACCATCAGATTTTGTAAAGGAAAAAAACAAAGAAAGGACCTTTGAGTTTCAATACTTAGAAATAAACAATTGATACATGTTTTAACAAAACATACTGTAAAAGGATATTTTTCCGTCATACATAACGAGAGATTGTATGTGATGACTAAAGGAAATTTAAATTTGAAATCCAGTCATTAGGAACTTTTTTTAATTTATCCATAAAATGTAGAACGATAAAGCGAATGAATCAAGTATTAATATCATTCTAAGACAATGCATTTTGAAAAGAATCTAATCTCAAGGTAAATACATGTCATATATAATCTCTTTTAATGTACTTATCTTTTCTACGATGGTAAAAACTCATCTGACCGTATGGAATTTATTACTTTGAAAAAGAAAGGTAACATTAGAAATAGAAATCGGTTTGGTATACCATATATAAAAATTCAAAAACAAATCGTTTATACTATGAGACAATATATGCGTTTGAATTGGAATGAGTACAACAAGTAACATGATAATGAATAATCAGCGTATACATAAATATACAATTATAGGTCAAAGACAGAAACTATCAAATTTTTTGTATGAGGCTTTGTAACTGTTAGGAGAGGTTAACCGAGCGCTTGAACAGTATCAATTTGAATACAAAAGGGTTGATATTTTCTGACATTGATCTAGTATTGTATTTAAACTGAAGCTAAAAAGATTACAAATATAATAAAATTTTCGAATCCCTAATCATGCCCCATTTTGGGAATAAAAGTGACGCCCTATGAAATCTATATTGCAAAAAATATCACTTTTACTGACCTGATATGTGCATAAAACCCATACAAACATCAGAAGGATAAGTTTTTCTGGTACCCTGCCAAGACCACGACCATTACAAATCCGTGTGTATGGATCTTTGAAGTGATTATTAAGTTTCTGTAATAGTTCTTCTTTTCCACCATCGTTGCTAGCTGAATGGTGCTTGTCAGGATCTGCGCAAAAAAGTGTGTTTTTATCTCTATCGATTTATGAGTTTCGAACAGCGGTATACTACTGTTGCCTTTATTTTTGGCAAATAAATGAAATGCAATTGTATTGTCATATAATTTAACTAAATGCTGCGTTAAAATTCACAATATTGGATGATAACTGTGAGAGGATGTCAGAATGAAAACAAAGGTATAAGAAAATTATTGATTGATAAATAAATAGATATCATATCATATTTTAGAGACAGTTAAGTTGTAAAAATCCAAATATTTCACATTTACCTTCAAAGTTTTCCTCTGCGGATTCCTTTTCCTTTTGCGTGTCTCCATTGTCAGAAATGTTTGCTTCAGGTGTTGCCATACTAGAAATAAACCTTATTGAGTTTTTTTTATTATTCACCTGACGTTAACTTCAAACCACATTTTCAGTATCAGTTTTTCACGGAAATTTAAAAAAAGAATAACCGCATCCTATGTATATGCTATTTTATTTTTTAACTGTGCACAATAATTGCTTGGAGGCTTTAATAGTATGGAAAAAAAGAGAATAAAACATTCACATCGAATGATAACATTCAGCTACACGAACCTCGCTAAAAACCTAGCCGTGTTAAAGGGGCACTAGCAGTCAAATTCATGTTCACCGATTTAACCCAAATTCGGATATTCTATTCATAACATACTAAAACGTATATTCAAATTACAAAAAGTCCAAAAGAAACCATTAACAATGCATGGGCTAACTATAATGTATTATCATTTTGTGCATATTATAGACCAGACGTCATTTAATTATCAATCGAGATGACCATTCGAAGACAGCTGACTGTCATATAACCCGTTATAAACATAAGCATAAATTGAAAAAAAGAAAAAAGATAGCGACCACGTGCAATCGAGTTTTTCTAGGTTTGATTGATTTCATGTTATAGGTTAAAAATATATGTAAATCTTCCTTTAACTGTGAAAAACGGATTTTTGTGCGTCGGATTAGTCACCGAAATGGTTATTTCTACTGTCTCCTTTGTTTCGCTTTTCGATGTTAGGTAGCAATACACAGTAAGGAATTCAGTTTTACATTTTGGCCACGGTGAATTTTTTCAAATATGAAAGTTATTGTGCAATATATTGATTTTCAGAATAATATAGCTTTCAAAGTGGGTTTATATGAACATCTAGATTGTTTTTTGCATGATTTATAGGCCATTTTCTATTTGACATTCCGTATTTTCACATCGGTTCCGCTGATAGGTCCAGAGTGATTGTAGTGTTTTCCAACATATATTTTACACTCGAAGTTCAAAGAAAAATGAGGTGAAATGCATTTGATTTTAATTGACCTCTTGATAGATAAATGTCAATGGTTTCAGAAAATGTATCACTCAAATTGATTGAAATTCTACTTTGAACCAAAGTAGTAGGCCTTGTAAGACCCTTTTTTGGCCCCAAAACATAGCATTTTTACAATTTGTTTAAAAAGTAAACCTTATTTATTAAAAAGTAAGGGAAAGAGGGTTGTTAAAAATTATGATTGTCAATTTTAAGTTTGTTCCTTACTGTGTATTGCTCCCTTAACATTCTTTCTTTTTTTTTAATGAATGAACCACGTGCAGAACACTTGCGCAACCCGTTTCTACAAATGGTTACATTAAAGATTGTATGAATACAGATCAAATTATTTGAATTATTGACTTGCAAGTCAATAATACACCAGTGATGATTTTAGCTCATTTTAACGAAATAGAATCAAACTGATTGCTAGTAGTGAAATATTGCTATTGTTTCTTTATTCCGCTTTTCTAAATGTTTTTAAAAAAAAATCATATTTCATTTTTTGTCGAGTTTGTAGCTAATGCTATATTTCAGAATTTTGTTGATTTTTTATCTTCAAAATTACATTTTCAACAAATATATTAGGTTAAGATATAGAGTAAATATCATATCATATCCTATCATATTTCGCTTATCCAATATCACATATCACATCATTTCATATCATATCATATCATATATCCTTCGAGCTATTTAAAGTTTTGAGTAGAATAGGAAATTAACATTGCAGACACACATTGTAACCATATACTCGACACCCTCTATGGAGGTGAGTAACAATCATATAAAGCATCATTAATATTCACCAATGCTGAAAAGTTCTGAAACCGACCTAACTTTGATAGTCGAACTGACAAAGTAATTCCGATACAAAATACGTTATATATGTATTTATATATACAAGTCTAAATTGAAAACAACGTTCAAACCTATGATTGCGTTGGATAAAAACCGCAATTTTTATACGTGTGCATGCAAAACAAATTTCTTGTTAGAGGGGTCTAAATACAGCACAAACAACATTTTCCAAAAGACCAAAAAAGTGAAAAAGTATATTTTAACAAAACGCATTTGACTAACAGGTCGAACAACAAATGTTCCTAAACCCTGCCGACTGCCATTGGCGATTGCCAAATAAACGGATCACCAGGTGTAATAAATGGATCTTGTTTATAAATTAATACCAAACAGAAAACAATAAACTTGCGGCAAAGATGGTATACCGCAAACAAAAGGTGCAAAGATTTTTGAACACCATATCCGGATTTCGACAATTAATGTCTCTTCAGTGATGTTAGGAATCGAAAGGGTATTTGGAAGGCCATATAATTTACCTCAATTTAGGATAGACTCTTGAATTTTGAGAAGTCAAAATAGGATAAACGGATCATATAAACCCGAAGGCAAATATAATACAAGCCCAAACGAAAAAATATAAACAAGTCTAAACTGAAAACAACGTTCAAACCTATGATTGCGTTGGATAAAACCGCAATTTTTATACGTGTGCATGCAAAACAAATTTCTTGTTAGAGGGGTCTAAATACAGCACAAACAACATTTTCCAAAAGACCAAAAAAGTGAAAAAGTATATTTTAACAAAACGCATTTGACTAACAGGTCGAACAACAAATGTTCTTAAACCCTGCCGACTGCCATTGGCGATTGCCAAATAAACGGATCACCAGGTGTAATAAATGGATCTTATTTATAAATTAATACCAAACAGAAAACAATAAACTTGCGGCAAAGATGGTATACCGCAAACAAAAGGTGCAAAGATTTTTGAACACCATATCCGGATTTCGACAATTAATGTCTCTTCAGTGATGTTAGGAATCGAAAGGGTATTTATATATATATATATATATATACAACAAAGTTATTTTCATTTACTTGTGTTTAAAGTAATTGCAAATGGCTGATATTTTTGTTCAAGCATATTGTTTTTCTTAACTGGTTTAACATTTCACAGCGGTTAATGTTACTTTAATTATTCTTCCCTTGGTTTATTTATTTTGTATTTACATTTTATCATAGATCAAATTAATTTGTTCAGTGTATTTTTACTGGTGTTAATATGTCTTTTGATTGAGTTAAGCCATTTCAATTGATATTTTATAGTGTGTCTTTCTATGTTGTGATGTTACACTATTGTTTCAGATAAGGGTGAAGGTTTGGTACATTTAAAACGTTTAATGCCGCTGTAATTGTTTGCACCTGTCCTAAGTCAGGAATCTGATGTTCAGTAGTTGTCGTTTGTTGATGTGGTTCATAAGTGTTTCTCGTTTCTCGTTTTTTATATAGATTAGACCTTGGTTTTCCCATTTGAATAGTTTTACACTAGTAATTTTTGGGGCCCTTTATAGCTTGCTGTTCGGTGTGAGCCAAGGCTCCGTGTTGAAGACCGTACTTTGACCTATAATGGTTTAAAATTTTGACTTGGATGGAGAGTTGTCTCGTTGGCACTCATACCACATCTTCTTATATCTATGTCATTAGCTACATGAGGATGTCTTTATCTTTATCTTTTTGCCCTAGCCGTATTTGGTACAATCTATCACAATTTTCATATATATATATATATAAATAATCTTCAACATCGCAATATTTGATTCGGCTTTGTAACTGTTTTGATTCGAACGCCACTGTTGAATCATATGTAGAAGAAAAGGGCGTCTGGCGTGCCAAATTGTAAGTTTTTCTTAAGAACAAAACTGTGTACCCTTCTGGTGCGCTCCAGCTCATCTACGAATGTTGTAATAGTTCGTGTACGTAAATGTTTTAAATGTCAGTGGAATGTTTTACGGCCCGTTTACCTTCTATTTGTGTTGTCTATTGTTCCCGCCTTGTTATTTAATACTGATGTTATGGTTTCTGCATAGCTGTTTTTGTTATCATTTATGTACTTGTGAATCAGTAATAATGACAAGGAAGATTTTTAAACAATGAAAATTTTAATTGTTTATAAAATGTGTTCTCTACTTCGTGTTATTCCGTGTTTAGACTTTATTAAGTGTATCAATTATTCTCAAATGAAAAAGTATTTATAAAACATATATCAGTTCAGTAAGAACATTTCAACGATGTTTTAGTACAGACATTTTAGAGTCGAAGAATATTTCTATCAGAAAATGCATGTATACATACCCCTTGTTACTACTTGATCGCTATAATTTGTTTAAATGGCGGACCTTTAAAGTAAGCAAAGATTTGAATTGATTTTATGAAACGCAATATAGATAATTAGTGGTCATACACAATATAATGAATCTTTAACGTACATAATAATCACATGATCAATTAAACAACCTATTTTGAATATATTTTAACAATAAGACTTTATTTGGCCCACCTGTTTGTTTTGGGATTATCTGTTATGAACAGGGTGTAACATCAGTTTACTCGGAACTATAACTACTTTACTATGTATCAAAGTACATTCGGAAGACTATTACGTCATATAAAGGAATTCCGGGATATCCATTAGTATATAGACAGTCATAATCCAGTTGTAATTCTGATCGAACGTCCCTACCTTAGACGAGCTATCAACTAGATAAATGACTCAAGCCTGGAACTATTATATTCAGGTAATATAATACATCACAACAGTTAAATTAGTAGTCGGCATGATTTCACTGATTTCCACGGTGACGTTTATTCGCGCCGTATGATTCTCAATATTGAGATCTTTGTTTTCGCGAGCAAATATTTTTATTTCCTTCACACCTGCGATTGTATAACTATATAGCTTGTTGATTCATTGTTATTTTTTTGTATTCACGCGATTGATATATTGAATAGAGATTTTACATCTTAATAAAATATCCACCCTTAATTACGAATTTACGAAATACACAGATTTGCATACACCATGCATATTTAAACAGAATAACTTTATAAAGAAGTTACTTTAGAATAGTTTTGTTTGTCTATTCATTTTATTTCAAGGGCAATATATTTATATTCTGCAAAATAAACACATTTTTTTTTCAATCTTTAATATTCCGCTGGCGTCAGATATTCAGATGTCAAATAGCATTTGGTTCGGTTTTGGTTTTTTTATGGTGGGGGGGGGGGGGTATTACTGGTACAACTGCGTCAATCTTCTCGTGTCACAGTTGTTATCAGATTTTGTTTTCCTTATCAACATGTGTTCACTGTTCTTGTGTATTATTTTAAATAATTTGCGTTGATTAATTGAATAGTAATGCGAAGGAATGTGTTGAAATATTGTATTTTCACTTATTGATCTTTGTATACACATGTATACATTTGTGTTCATAGGTTTATATATGTTTACACTGAATGTGACCGTAATAATAATGGTAATAATCATTTTGGGTCTTTTTGATTGTGATTATAGAGTTTTTATATGTCAATATCAAGTGTGACTATCCTGATTTTTTTTTTTCGAAGTATGGTATACTGATTTTTCTTATATTGCTTGTTGGGTGTATTGCTTATACTTCTGTGACAGCTTTGTCAGTCAGATATTCTAATGTCATAGTTGTTTCCGGATAGGATTTTTCTCGCTCTGTAAGTATCTTCTTGTGTGTTAAGCATCAGCGTACGAACAATATTTGCATTTCGACTTCAGAAGTTGATTAGAAGATTTATATTTATTCCTTTACGGAAAATAGTCAGATTTTTGCATTGCGATATCTTTTATGTATATGTATTTAGATATAAGAAGATGTGGTATGAGTGCCAATGAGACAATTCTGCATCCAAGTCAAAGTTTATAAAAGTAAACCATTATAGGTCAAAGTACGGTCTTCAGCACGAAGCCTTGGCTCACACCGAACAGCAAGCTATAAAGGGCCCCAAACATTACTAGTGTAAAACCATTCAAACGGGAAAACCAACGGTCTAATCTATATAAAAAACGAGAAACGAGAAACACTTATGAACCACATCAACAAACGACAACTACTGAACATTTGTATACATGTATATATTGTATATGGTTGTCGTTTTTGCTTTAATGTGTGCATTGGGCTTAAGTAAGTAGCAGCAACATCATCTATTTCTTATCATCGAATTATCTCTATGAAATTTAATTGCAGCTCCATCATAGCAAAATTAAATGAAAGTAGAAGTAGGCGGGATTCCTCGCTGTATGTCATAATAGAAAACATAAATTGACGGTAGAACAGTCTGAAGTATTGAAAAAAATACAAAATATTGTACCATACACAGACATGTTGTTAGATGATTTCATACAGAGAACTGTTGAAACCGTTTACAATGCTTTTCCCTTTACAACAGAAAGTGAACAAGAGCTAAAAATCTAAGAGGCTTTTGTTATTACTTTCTGTAAGGAAGAGGGGGAGGGGAATAATGAAAGAAAAATCATTAAAATCTTTATATGGTGTATAATATTGTATTAATATCGTCAGAAAGCAAATACAAAATGCCGATCACCAAGATTAAATCAAGGAACCTAATGTTAAACTGGAATTGAATTTGATCATCTCGAACAACTTTCAAGAAAAACAAAATATTGAGAATATTGACGTACAAGTACAAGAAAATCCGGAATTTAAACATTATTACCGCTTTCTGGAGCCTAAATATCAAGAGAAAACAGATTTTCTTCAAATAAGAAATAAAACTAAACAAGATGAAAAATAGTTTATACTGAAGGCCCTCCACAGCAGCTTTTATGACGTGCACTTAGATGGAACTGCAAATGCAGAATGAAAATTAACCATACAGTCTTTTCCTGGCAATGATTATCAGAATTAAAATTGCTTTAGACAGTCACAAATTGTAGAACCACAAGAAAAAACAACTGTACGGAGAATAAACAAGTGAACATAGACATGGTAGAACAGATTACTCAAATATTTCGATTGAAGATGGGGAGACCGATGAATATGCCTCCAAAGACAAGCCTATGGAAACAAAATCACACAAGGGGTCAATTGGAATCTTGCAAGATAAAGGAGTGGAAGATATTATACATGTATATGCAGCACCAAGTGAGTACAAAAGATATGATTATAGAGATGACGAAAAGAAATGACAGTTAAAGAGTAGGAAGAAGAGACGATGATTACAACATGTACAACACACAGTTGTATTACTGAACCTGAGTGCAATCACTCACTAAAGAAAGAAGTAATATGGCTATTTGTAACAATTGATAGCCTCGCTCCAAACTCGATATACCAACCAGATAGTCTCTTATAAGTAGAATCGAAGACCAGAAAACATCTATATTGGATACAATACCAAAATGATACAGAAATAAATTACTGTTATTTAGAGTACAGTAATTGTCCGTCAACTTTTGGAAAAACACAAATGAAAATACACGATACTCTATGCAATAGAGATAAGAGAGTGTGCAAAACAAACCAGTACAATGAACAGACGAAGACATGCCTATGAATGAAAACAGTAGAGGCTCTACTCACAAGAAGAACGAATCCGAAAACAAGATGAAAGTTATACCAGATTCCGACTTGGATTTGCATACTACTGATTGTTTTCATCCCGACGTCTTAAGAAATGGAGATATGGACACATTTAATATCTCTGCATGAAGATGATTAACATTGGGAAAATTGACCGAAAGAAAGTGAAAAGAAAAAGAGAAAAGAAAGGGTGTGCAACAACGCACAAATTATTTAGAGGAAAAAAGAACACAGAAAAAAAGAATATACAAAACTAAAGGAATAGATGTCAGTCAGTGTGGCCAAGGTTAATTTATTGGATACAAAAAATTGTAAGAGAGAAGTAAATGGATAAAACGAAGAAAAGTTATGCTTAGAAAGCAAGGAATAAAACGACTTAAGAATAAAAAACAGGATCACAATATATGCTGTATTAACATTATTCAAGAATGTATAACCGATCCTGATGGAGTTGATGTGTAACACTTTTTATGAATAGTTAAAATAATTGTATATAATAAAAAATGAAAACAACATCTTATAAATGTCATGCGCCCGAAGCGCTTCTCTGGATTTATCTCCATCAGGAACCCTCAACGCCAAATATTTGAAAGCCAATGATGTATAAGAACCGAAACAGTTGAAGAGCTATATGATAAAAAAAGACCTAAAAAATAGCCAAATCCATTTAAAGTCTACTTTGCCTGAGGGAGTTGAAACCTTAGTTTCTTCATAATTTCAAAATTTATAAACGGACAATTTTGAAAGGTTTGTTATAAATCATATATTTGTTTTTATGTATTGAAAATATTTAAAAAAATTTGTTGAACATGGGGTAGAGTTCCTGTTTTATTTATGTTCAATACTGCTATGCGTGTACAAGTATTTTAGGATGTGCCATTTTAGGATATGTCATTTTGAAATTGAAAATGATATTTATTTGATATTTTGCGTTGACGTTTAAAAAGGCATACATGATCTATCGCCATTAGAAAATTAACCAATTTGTTCATGATTGAAATACTTCTATATATTTAAGATGTTGAATCGAATGTTGAATGTTGAAAACAAATGTTGACTGTTGAAAACGAATGTTGAATGTTGAAATCGAATATTGAATGTTGAAAACGAATGTTGAATGTTGAAAACGAATGTTGAAATCGAATGTTGAAAACCCAATGTTGAATGTTGAAAACGAGTGTTAAATGTTGAAAAGGAATGTTGGATGTTGAAAAAAAAGAAAAAAAAAGAAAAAAGAAAAAAAGAAAAAAAAAATTTGGATGTTGAATGTTGAATGTTGAATGTTGAATGTTGAAATCGAATGTTGAATGTTGAAAACGAATGTTAAATGTTGAAATCGAATGTTGAATGTTGAAAACGAATGTTGAATGATGAGATCGAATGTTGAATGTTGAAATCGAATTATTGAAAAACGAATGTTGAATGTTGAAAACGAATGTGCAATGTTGAAAACGAATGTTGAATTTTGAAAACAAATAAAAAAAAAAAAAAAGAAAAAAAAAATTTTTTGAAAAAAAAAAGTTTAACAAAAAAAACAAATTTGAATGTTGAATGCTGAATGTTGAATATTGAACCAACTTGACATTCTTCATCTTTACAGACTATATTTATGTTGTGTAGATCAAAAGTACTTATAGATATACTGTTGAGGTCAATAATTGTGTATTGAACTGTGTAATAAATTACTATTTAATCATGTAGTAAACGGGATATTTACTACGGTCAATTGTTAGATTGGCATTAAAATGAGTTGATTTCGATAAATACATGAACTCATACCTTTGAGTGTAGTTAATTGTAAACCAAGACAGTTGTAAATTCTACTGGTATGGTATCAATACACTTAGTTGCCTGTAAAGGATTGATTTGGAATAATAGTATTTGAAAAAAGGGTGGGAATCCTCTTTGATTTCAACACAGATTATACCAAAATGTATTCATTTATTTACACAAGCATAAGGTACTGATAAAATACTTTCGCAATTCTTATCAACTGCTCACATTTGAATTCTCACCTTTTCACATTAATTTGTAGATAGTTATATCTTATAAACTTTGATTTACAAAGGAACTTCACGTGGATATCTAAAATTCAGTAGCTGTTCGACCTCTCTTTTCTTGATTTAAGGGCAAATAATGTGTCACAATGTGACAGTAGATGATCACACAGGTGTATACACTTACTGTAAGTCATTACACTTATCATTAGGTTCATGATGTATATAAAATACAAATTTCAAAGTAAATTTTGGGCAGGATCGTCAGATGTTTAACAGGTTTCGTCCTTACGTATCTAAAGATTGTAAACAAACTCGAAAGTGTCTTAAGGAGGTTTCCAGGCTTACTTTTTTATACGATACTGAAGATTATCAGTGAAACTGTTATATACTATTATAGGTCACGGTATAACCTTTAATAATAAGTTAACCCCACACCATGTGACTCATTTTAAGAAATTAAGACAAATTGTCTCCATCTTATTAAGACATAAAAATAAGACTTACAAACTAAATCAATATTAACCAAAACCAAAATGCCGTATGGACATGTGATGATATTTTTTCTTCAGGATCTATGTTTATACATTAATGTTTGGTCAATTATTTGATTGATTGATTGTTGAAAATATCAAATCTTAAAAACCCGCTTCATACAACATTTTTATTCCAAGTATACTGGTGAATTTTATACAATACTTCTGAAGTACTACATTTGTTCCATCATAAATCATGAAAAATAATTGCGCTAAGCTCCGCAAATCACGTCAGCAAAGAATTGAGGTGTAATGCCCATTAGGCTAAATAAACTTTCCCAGAAATAGTTTCAACACTATAGCGCATTTGCTTAACACCTTTTCCCATGACGTCATTATATATCCACATACGCAAAAATGTAGGTATTGATGAAGGGCGAACTGAGGTGATTAAGGGATATATTTCGTAAAATTTAAATAGCCTTTCAAGACGTCATAACTATTTGGAATAGTACCTTCTGTGCTGAGAAATTTTCTTGTTCTGTAACATCTACGCTTTTTGTTTGTTAATGAACCTTTGGAACAACTATCTGAGGAATCTAAAGGTGGCCTAAGACTTCATAATTATTTAGAATAGTACCATCTGTGCAGAGAAATTTTCTTTTTCTGTGACATCTACGCTTTTTGTTCGTTAATAAACCCTTGGAACAACTATCTGATGAATTTTCCAGTAAAATATCCGGCCCTTCATCCCAGTCGACCTATATTGCAGAACCTTCCGGTTGTAAAATTGTCTATTTGTTCTTGTCTTGACTATGCATGAAATATTTGCCAATAGCATCAAACAAGCAAATTATATTTGAGGACGAAGATAATGAAAACTATAATAATACGGATGGGTTACACAATGATCTCTTGCATCTCTTCTTATTCATAATATTATCATTTTTTAATCCTTATGGTTTTAACTTTTAAAGAAATCTTTATATCAAACAGATTGATGCTGACCGGTTGAATTTTGAATATCGAACAACGAATAGAGAACCAGCGGTTAATTTCACATAGTCTATATTAATGTAAATTCCGATTCGAAAATATACTTCTTATCGTCAAGTTAACTTCAAATGATATTTGATTAAATTGATAAAAATGAATGAAGATTAAATGAAGTCAAGTTTATCAAAATAAGCAAATAAGTAATGAATTAAAAACCAATTGTTCTCTGAACAATTGAAGGTCTTTCCACAGCAATTTTTAAATTTATTGAAAAGAAGCTAGTTCGTGTTTACTCAAAGTTAAAATTGGCATCTTATCATCAGTTTCGTCATACAGATGCGATAAATAAGTGGTTTCTCTATACTTCTGAGTGAAATAAGGGAGATAATTAGCTACTTCCGGTGAAGTAAATGTCACTTCCTGTCTCATTTAATCTTCTACTTTTACGTCTTCTACCGGATAATGGCCACAATCAACAGACTGAATATTTTGCCATGACTTCAGTGCGCATACGGACCCCTCCCCCCTGCCCCCATATTGTTTGAATTTAGTTCAGCTTTGTCAACGAGGCTTTAAAAGCCTCGACTGACGGCGCTGACACTAACCCAGGAGGGAGACTGTTCCAATCTTTGATGGTTCGTTGAAAGAAAGAAAATTTCCGGTAATCATTTGATGCTGCTGGAATTTGGAAGCTTCTGTCATGCATATTTCTTTACAATCGTTTAGGTGGAATCAGACGATCTTCCTTTGTCACAGCCACTTTCTCATTTACTATTTTGAAGAGCATGGTTAGTCTTGCATCTTTTCGTCTTTGTTCAATTGATCTCCATTCTAGGTGGTTTAGCATCTTGCTTACACTCGAGTGATTTTGGTGTTTGTTCATCACATATCGTGCTGCACGTCTCTGGACCATCTCTAGTCGGTCTATTTCTGTTTTATTGTATGGATCCCATACAGGACTGGCGTATTCTGTTATTGGTCTAACAATTGTTTTGTACGCACTTTCCTTTACAGACGTAGATCCAATGTTCAGGTTTCGTTTTAGGAAGCCAATTGTTCTATTGGCTTTGTTACAGACGTTGTTAACATGGTTGTTCCGTTTCAGTTCGGACGTGAATGTGTAGCCTAGGTATTTGGCGCTTTTTACAGGTTCTAAAGTGTGACCATGTAGCTTGTATGATGTTGCAATGGTGTTGTTTTTCCGGCTGATGGTAAGTACTAGTACATTGCACTTGTCTGGGTGGAAGGCCATTTTCCATTTGGTTTCCCATATTGCCAATTTATCTAAATCTTCTTGTAGGTCGTTGGAATCTTTGTCGTTTGATATTGTGAGGTAGGCTATGGTGTCATCAGCAAATAGGCGGATAGTAGATTTAATTCCATCAGGCATGTCGTTGATGTAAAACAGGAATAGCGACTGAGCCTTGGGGTACCCCAGTTTCTACATCAATATGTGATGAGCTCTCTCCATCCACTACTACTGCTTGTGTCCGATGTGATAGGAAGCTAGCAATCCACCTATTGACCTTTCCTCTGATACCGTAGTGTTCGAGTTTATGAACGAGTAGACTGTGACCGACTTTGTCAAAAGCTTTAGAGAAATCCATAATTAGTACGTCTGTCTGTTTACCTGCACTCATGTTTTTAGTGATGTCGTTCACAAATTCAATTAGTTGGGTTTCACAAGATCGTTTGGAGCGAAAGCCATGTTGTAATGGCTAGAGAATTTGGTGGCGATCTGCATGGTTCATGATATGGCTTGTGATTATGTGTTCTATGAGTTTGCAGCATATACAAGTCAGAGATATTGGTCTGTAGTTCTCTGCTCTATATCTCTCTCCTTTCTTGAAGACTGGGCTAACATTGGCATTCCTCCAGTCAGATGGTACATCCCCTGTTTCGATTGATGTTTGGAAGATCAGTGTAAGTATGGGTGCTATTTCCTTTGCCAGTTCTTTCATTAATCTTGGTCTTATGTTGTCAGGTCCTGCTGCTTTGTTTGGATTGATTTTTGTGAGTAATTTTAATATACCATTTTCTGTTATGGTAAGTTCTTCAGCGGACGGGTATTTACCTGACATCTGACATCGAGATAAGAACTCATGCTGGTTGTATGTATCCTTGGTGGAGAAATCCGATTGAAACTGTTTATTAGGGATGGTTGCTTGTTCTACTGGGTGTGAGTGTAGTAGTCCCTCACATCGTAGTGGTGCCACTCCACTGCTCTCTGTACGTTTATGTTTTATGTATGTCCCGAACTGTTTCATACTACTGTATTGATTATTTTCCTCTTTAGGTGTTACAATGTTCTCAATATATTTCCAGTATGCTCGACGGAGCTCTCTCTGGACCATTTGCTTGGTTTCTTTAAATTTGGAGGTGATTTTTGGATCGGCTGACTTTTTCTTTTTCTTGTACAGTCTGTCTCGTCGATGTATTAACTTGCGTATTTTCGGAGTGAGCCAGGGAAGGCTGTCTTTCTGTTTTGCAGTTTTATGCGGGATATGATTATTTACACTCTGGTTAAGCTTGAATTTGAACAGTAACCAGAGTTCCTCACTGAACTCCCATTTGCAGCTAATTCTTTAACCTTCTGGTAAGTTTCATTCATTTCCTGTTTGATAGTTTCCCAGTTTGCTTTCCTATATAAGGCGATTGTTCTTGGTTTTTGCTTCCTTGATATAGGCTTGGTGTCTATTTCACTGAAGACAATATCATGGTCTGACACCCCGGGTGTTACTTTGGTACGAGTGAAGCGTGATGGGTTGTTTGTGATCACTAGGTCCAATGTATTTGGACCTCTTGTTGGTTCCTCTACCAGTTGTACAAGGCCATTGTCGTCTAAAATGTCGCCAAATTTGTAGTGGTTTTTTTGGTAAGTAGAGTCTGGCTTTAGAGTTCCTGTTAACCAGTTCCAGCCTGGAAGGTTGAAGTCACCACCAACGACTATGAATGCATTTTTCGTTGCACTTGCCCGTTCTAGACTTAGTCCCAGTTCTTCAAGGCTTTCTTCGTTTGCTGTTTTGGGGTTGTAGTATGATGCAAGATACATATCTTTGTTCCCAGCTAGGCTTATTTTAGCCCACACAATTTCGCAATTGGTTTGCAGTTCAGGCACTGGTGTGCTAAGATGGTCGCTACAGCGGACAGCGGTATACTACTGTTGCCTTTATTTATGGCAATTAGCACTCCTTCTCCTTGTATATTACGATCGTTTCTGTATATATTATAGTTTGGTGGAAATATCTGATTATCTGTTATAGAGGGGTCAATCCATGTTTCTGTACCTAGGACAATAGCAGGTTTGGTGCTTTCAACTAGGTTTTTAACTAGTCCTTGTTTGGATTTGATGGACTTAAAATTTACAGTCAGCATCTTGATTGGTATTGGTTTTGCTTTGGCCTGTAAATTATTTCGGTTCTTCCTCTCTGATGTGGATGCATGAATAGGTTTGATGCAGTCAGATGGAAGTGGACTTTGTAGTGATGTATCAGACAGGATACTGAATGAATTTGATGTTGTCAGTACTAGTTCAAAGCATACTGAGCTGTAATTTGGACAGTCACAGATTAGGCAATCCAAGGCTATGCAGCTGTCGTCTGCTAAGATATTGTATGTTCGTGAGCTCATGGATTGGCAGGAAACATGATACCATTGGTTACAGGTTTCTTTCACACTGATTCCAAAAATATATAGTTTCTTTATACTTTTGCTTGTAAACCATGAAATAATTGGCCACTTCCGGTTTATCGAAAGTCATTTCTAGTCTTCTTTGACAAGTTAATGTATTAAAATTACAAAATATATGGATTTCGAGTACTTTTCCATGAAGAAAGTTCAAAAATGGCTACTTCCGGTTTTCTCAAGGTCATATGTCATCCAACCATTTGTAAAAGGAGGTCATATGGCTTTATAATGAACCAAGTTGAAGTAATAATCAATTAACCTTATAATTGGACATTTCAGGGGCACTTACTCCTATAAGATGCCATTAGATTGTTTCAGTGTTTGAAAAATGCAAAAACAAGGAAAAGTCAAAATTGAGAACTTGACCTTGACCTTGACCTCATTTTCTAAGTTAGGACCTAGGGACCTCAAATAAAAAGATTCCAGGGTTATACGGTTAACGGTTTATGAGTTAAAAAAATATACCGACAAATTTCTTTGGTAAAGGTAGATAACTCCTTTAAAATTTCATCGAATCGCTTCTATCCAAATTAGAAAAAATTCCTGAGGATGTAACGAACAATTTTAGAAAAAGAATTTTGTCAATATCTTTTTTTGTTACAAAAAAAATTGTTCGGCTTAGAATGGGTGAAAATAAAAAGCGCATAAACTGTATGATACTATATAAGAAATATCTTAGCGACATATTGCGAAACAAAAAATTTACGCGATAACAAAATTTGACTGAAGAAAAAAATAATAATCAGAACAAATACAATAGGTCTTTCCACAGAAAAGTGGAAAGACCTTATAAAAACCAAAATCAAAAGTTAATTAAATGTGTTCTTCTAAGGAATAGATTTCCATCTGTCCAAATATTATTTGTGTATTCATTTTTTTTTGTACGCTCGACCAGTTGTCGATCATGTTTGTGTCAGTGCATCTTTATCGTTAGTAAAATACATAAAATCTTCAAGATACAATGAAGAAAATCGGAATACTTTTTCTCATCACCTTAATTTTTTACTTCAAATTTAGAAAACAGATTCAACATCAAGTAAAAAAAATGTAATATTTATTCTAACATATCTACTGTGCCTGCATGTGGTTTATATTCGCCGATAGAGATCTCCTGCCTTGCACTAAAACTAACAGTAAACTGTAGGTTTTCCGACGAGCTCATATCTTAATGAATGTTGTATTTGTTATAAGAATGAAAGTTTGAAGCATAGAGCATTTGAAATACGTATTTTGTAAGTTCGAACCTAGTACGATCTTATCATCATGAAATAAGATAAATGGTATTTATTGTTGACGACCTTAATTTAAATGTCAACGTACGAAAGAGAAAATTGAAATACAAAACTCGCTTATATTAACTGCTGGGATTGATATGGTCATTTGCCTTAACTGAGAGGGCGTTTTTGGTTTATAAACAACAGCAATCTTCATTCAGTTACCACAGTCTTGCTTTATACTCAGAAGCTACGATTAAGCGTTTGGAGACTTTTGAATCATTTTGATCTTTGTATATATGTTTTGCACAATGAAAAAAAGATCACCGAGAGTCAACTCACTGAAAGAGGAAAATATTTTTGTTAGTGAATATGTAAAATGACAACTAGAAGGAAAACTTTTTCGTGCGATATTATGTTATAAATATAAGCTGGCCAGAATATTGGTGGAAGGAGGTGTAGATGTGAACTGTAGACTTAGAACAGGCGTTACACCCCTGATTTTGATTTGTGACTAAAGTGTTGACGAAGACATGAAACGTATGCAGATGCGTTTAGTACGTTGTTTAATTAGTTAGCAGGCAGATGTGAATGCAAAAGACAATTTTGGTCGTACGGCCCATACATACGCATATTTATCTGGTGACCTACGGCTCGTGCGTTTGCTACAGCTCAGCGGACCGTCAACATTGACATGGGATGTCAATGTTTCTTTTTGCAGACGGGAAAGCGTAGTGATCACATCTTACTTAAACATTCATTTTCATCGATGGGAATCCAACGATTTTGCTCAGCAAATTAATTGATATACGTATATATGTATATGTATATATTGTTCTTTTATAATTTTTTTTAACTAAGACATTACTTGTCACCTCGTGAAGTCCTATGCAAGAACTTTATCAACAGTTTACTGAATATTGCTATAAAAAAACACTTATGCATTGTACAGCATTTAATTTACATGATAAATCTTTTTATTAAAAATAGTCAGTGGAAATATATAAACATGAGTTTTTATTTGCCAACAGTTTCAGAAACATCAGAAAAAGATTGGAAAACGTTTTGATATATTCCAATTGTCGTAACATATGGACTACAAGGAAAAAAAACATAACAGATTCAAAATAAAATGTGCTCCGAAAGGGTAAGCAGATCCTACTCTACATGTGGCACTCGTTGTGTTGCTCATGTAAGTACAGACCCGGTGATAAATCTAATTTGGTAGGTATCATTCGGGGAGAAGAGGACGGGATTGTATTATCAAGATATCTTTATCGGAAATTGGCATAAGTAACTTCCTTCAAATATTTATTTTGTAATATATACCGGTAAACTAAAAAAAAGTAATTTTGGTCTTGACTTTTGATTGGACCCTTGGTGCAATTTTATCTTTTTTGCCGTCTTTCTGCTTTTATTGCTGGTCAATATGAAAGGCATCGCATGCAAGGTAGTGGCTTCCATTTGGCGGGATGTACAACTCATACCGGAATAAGGACGTTGATTGCAATGCCCCGTGTTTAGTGAGTGCCATGCTCTCTGTTCGTTAAGGAACCCTTGGAACAACTGTCTGAGGGATCTATTTGGAAAATTGATAAATTTTCTTCCCGTATCAACATTCCATAATTTTACAATAAAGATGTCCGGTCGACTTATATTGAGGAACCTTCCTGTTGTATAATTGTTTTTGTCTTAACTATGCATGAAGCATTTGCCACTAGGCGTCAAACAAGTAACAATCAATAATTATTTGAGGACGAAGATAGCAATAACTAAAGATAATAAGTTGGGGTTACAAAACGATCCTGGCATCTCTTATTATGCATACTTACTGTTTACAATATGTTATCAGTTTTTTAATCCTTAATAGAAGAAAATATTTAAGTCGAACAAATGTATGCCAGCAAATTGAATATTGTATATCAAACAACGAACAAAAAAACAGCTGTTGATTTCACATAGTTAACATTAATCTAAATGTCGATTCGAAAATAAAGTCTTATCGTTTATGTTATTACAAAGGATATTTGATAAAAATGAATAAAGATTAAATACGTCAAGTTTATCAAAATAAGCAAATTAGCAATAAACAACTAAATATAACATTAAAAATTAATTTAAACGTGTTTCTATTAAGGAATAGATTTCCCACAGTGAGATTTCTATCCGTCCAATTATTCATATTTGCTCTGCTCGACAAGTTGTCGATCATTTTTGTCAGTGCATCTCTGTTGTGAGTAAAAATATAAAAACTTCAAGATAACATAAAGAAAACCGAAATTTTACAATAATTAAACGGAATACTTTTTTCGTTACTATTGCAAAATTGAAAAACACATTCAACATATAGCAAAACAAACAGTAACATATCTTATGTGCCTGCATGTCGTTTATATTCGCCGAAGAGATCTCCCGCCTTGCCCTAAAACGAACAGAATACTGTAGGCCTTCCGACGAGCTCATATCTAAATGAATGTTACAGTTGTTACAAGAATGAATGTTTGAATATAGATCACACGATAGCAAAAACACTTGTTTTGAATGACAATCGGGAACAGAAGGCAGACATTTGCTACACGAGATAGCAAAAACACTTATTTTAAATGACAATCGGAAACAGAAGAAAGACATTTGCTACACGCAATAGCAAAACACTAGTTTGAATGACAATCGGAAACAGAAGATAGACATTTGCTACACGCAATAGCAAAACACATGTTTTGAATGACAATCGGGAACAGAAGGCAGACATTTGCTACACGCGATAGCAAAAAAACTTGTTTTGAATGACAATCGGGAACAGAAGGCAGACATTTGCTACACACGATAGCAAAAACACTTGTTTTGAATGACAATCGGGAACAGAAGGCAGACATTTGCTACACGCGATAGCAAAAACACTAATTTTGAATGACAATCGGAAACAGAAGACAGACATTTGCTACACGCAATAGCAAAACACTTGTTTTGAATGACAATCGGGAACAGAAGGCAGACATTTGCTACACGCGATAGCAAAAACACTTGTTTTGAATGACAATCGGGGACACAGATTATTTGAATCTGCAATATTGATAGCCGTTAAGAGGGTGTGATATACAACACTTATAAGATCAACAACTTATTGTGCGAAAAAAAAAACTTTACAGCTATGGGGTTATTAACATAAAATCTGTGATATACTATAAAGGATGTGTTCAGAGTTTATTGTTATGTTTACTAATTGTTATGGAGTGTTTTTGTGTTTAAAGACTAGATAGTGACTTTAAAGAGAGTTTAAGGCTGAACATACTGAAGGGAAGATAAAATATCAGACGTCAAAGAAAAACTAACAATATCATGACACTCTAACAAACTTAAGCAGCAACCATTTCAGGAGAATTAATGAAAGGAAATGAAGACAATTTATTTAATGTATCGTCGGGTATGGCTGTTAAAATTTTGAGTCAGATTTGTACAATAAAACCATTTCTGAAATTGAGTATTTGAAAGACAAAAATAATCCATTCCAAGTTTCCCCTGCAATTGTGACTTAATGCTTCACCCAGAAACAATATCTATCACTAAAAAAACTATATGTAATACTTCAATTGCAATAAAGAATTGTACTTTGTTTTTAGGAAAACCGTGTCTTCCTATTGTAAAGTAATTTTGTTGATGTACACTTCTTGTCTCAAAATGTAGTGTTGATTTTCGTATTCATTGACTGTAAAGTGAAAAAAATACTCATAAATTTGGTGCAACCGAACCACTTTGCAGGAAAATCATGAACTCTCAAACCTTAGATTTAGAAAGCTAAAAATGTATAAGTACGTGAATACTTGAACAAAACAGACAAAAAAATAGCCAGATCAATT